TCTTCGGAATAAGAATAGTAACATAAAGGATAAATACAAATATATGTGCAATTCTATTCGTCGATACATATTGGATCGATAGATGAAATTATGACACATATATATCTGTTAGTATAAGGGTATATATGTTCAAGTTATTGAACGACAGAATGTGTGTATTTACATATCATTTGTGATAGTTTAAGTATATATTTATTTACTTTTTTCAAAAGGAATAATAATAAACAAAAATAGTAAATATATAATAGTTAGCGTAATTTGGAAATGGGCGTGAAAGATGAATAATAATATCCACATTTATTTGTAGAGGAAAAGAAAAGAGAAGGCGTGGCATGTTTGGTAATTTTTTTTTATTTGATGTCTGAAATCATATTAAAATTTTGATTAAATTTAAATTATGTATTTTAGGGCTTATTCAAAAATAATGCTTTTAACAAAAGTTTCTCTAAATATCAGACTCAAATATAAAACCTCTAAATAAAAATAAAATATTTTAACCGATACACCACGACACGAATTATATTTCCTAATTTTGGTACAAAGTAAAGATAAACGTAAAGGTCCGCAGTATAATAATTAATTTTTGCACTGCTAGTTGCATTATTTTTTCTTATTGAATTGTCGACGACCAATTACACACGCTATTTTTATGTAGCCGTGAACTTTTTGTTTGTTTTGTCTTGTCACTTGGTCCATTAATTTCTTCCAAAAAATAATTTGACATTTGTAACGATATTTGATCTAACGATTATAAATTTTAAAGTTGAAAGTTAAAATTATATTGGAATATTTGATTATTTTATCTAAAATGTTAAATAACAAAAATTAAAGATTATTTCGAAATATGGGTATATGTGTAATGATCCATTGCTTTAGGCAGCTCAATTGGAGTAATAGCACATATAAATCGATTTTGATATCTTATTTAAGTTATGATTGAAGTTTATAAATTTGGTAAATATAATAAATTCAGACTTAAGTCCAAAAAATTATATGATTGAATTGCAAAATTTGCATCCAAACGTATAGATTTATTTGAAATTTGGCATATTATTTGTGTAAGTGAAATTCAAGACATAATTCTTTAACGTTGAAACAATAATAATAATAATAGTAATAATAATAATTTTCAAATGGTATTTGAAGATAAAACTTTTTTTAAAAAGAGTTGAAAAAAACTAATTTTAAAAAATATTTCTTGGAAAAAAACTTGTCATCACACAGATTTGAGTGGACCAATTAAACAAAATCAAGCTCAAGCCCGTTATCTGTAAAAGAATGGGCCAAACTATATATTACACATACATTACTACTTTGAAAATATTACATATCCTCTCACTAATTAATAATTTCATACGAAATTTCTTGTCAGATACATCTATATACATGCATTTCTGTTATCAGATACACTCTAAAATACATATTCATAGGGAGAGAAGCGAGTGATGGAAGAGAGAGCCAAACGAGAGAGTTTATGTATTTCACATACAGGTAAAACACACTAGATATATGTATTTGGGATACCATATACATTCTGAAAATACATGTATATATATAGAGAGATAGAGGCGAGCAAGATATATGTGAACCTATTTGTAAACAATATATCTTAAACGAATTACACCTAATTTTAACCTGATATATTCAAGATACATGCATCTGGACGTGCTAGATACATATCTATATCATTGCTATGATACCAATAAATTCACTACTTCAACACCGTTATCGAACATTGTAGGCTGAACATCTATTTTTTTCATATATCATTTCATACCGAGAAGAAGGATGTGTACCTCATGATTCCACCACAAAATATTATCTGTTCTTATCTATCTGTTCTTATTTGAGACACATTTAGAGACTAATTCTTATATAGTGTTGTTAATTATCAAAACGTCATATTTAACCTAACTCAATTTAGAAAATTGATTTTTAAAACAATTAATTTGACAGTCTGTGAGATAATCTCCCAGATTATTCAATATTTCAAATGTGTTAATTTGAAATGTCTTGTCTACATATCCATTATAACATATAATTATTCAAAATTTTAATAAAAAATATTTAGATATTTTATATATAAACTAAGAAAAGCTTGACCACATGGCCACTTGGCCACAATTATTGTTCCGTTGTGTTTACAGAAGAATCCATTAATATTATTATTATGTTGATTATTTGAAAAAAATTATATAATTATTAAAGGGAGATTGCAAGATATATTTATAAAATATTTTTTTATTAGGTAAATCAGTTTTGTTTTTATTAAATAAAACCTCAGAGATAAATCTATTTATAAATAGTAGTTAGTAATCTGATAAAAATGATTCCCTAATTTGCTATTATAAGTTATAACTTATCGATAATATTAAAAAATTCTTTTAAATTATCGATATATATATATAACTTAAATTCTATGTGAACACCAATTTGTACACATAAGAGCCTTCAAAATAAATGTTTTAAAATGACTCATCATGTCAATTGACCCCTATTTTCTATTTGGATACTACATAAATTAAAAAAATAGGTTTAAAAAAATTAAATTTGACACCACACGATATTTTAGAGTGTGTTTGGTATGAAAGAAAATATTTTCTGAAAAATATTTTTTAATTTTTTCATATTTGGTTGGGGCAAAAGTTTTGGAAAATGTTTTCCAAATCAACCCATTTTCCTCAAAATTAAAGAAAATGACTTCCCTTCAAAAATTAAGGAAAACATTTTTCAAAGCTCTCG